AGATGTTGAACGGCGTTTGTTTGCTTGTGAACAGCTGCTTGAAAGGCAAAGACGGAAGGGATTTCTGCATCGCATTGTGACTGGGGATAAAAAATGGATTCATTATGATAACCCCAAGCGCAGAAAATCATGGGAAGGGGGGTTCTCGGCCATGCTTCTACATCGACGGCCAAACTGAATATTCACGACTCCAAGGTCATGCTCTGTATTTGGGACCAGCTCGGCGTAGTGTATTATGAGCTATTAAAACCGACTGAAACAATCAGTATCGAACGCAATTGATGCGTTTGAGCTGAGCATTGAAAGACAAACGGCCGCAATACAACGAGAGACACGATAAAGTGATTTTGCAGCATGACAATGCTCGACCCCATGTTGCGAAAGTGGTCAAGACATATTTGGAAACGTTGAAATGGGAAGTCCTATTCCACCCGCCGTATTCTCCAGACATTGTTCCCTCTGACTATCACTTGTTTCGATCAATGGCACACGGCCTGGCTGACCAGCACGTCCGGTCTTATGAAGAAATAAAAAATTGGATCGATTCGTGGATCGCCTCAAAAAGATGACCAGTTTTTTTGACGCGGAATTCGTACGCTGCCCGAAAGATGGGAGAAAGTAGTGGCCAGCGATGGACAATACTTTGAATCATAAATGTATAACCAATTTTTTACAATAAAGCCTCGAATTTCGGAAAAAAACGGCAGAAGCAAAGTTGTATACCTAATATATATATATATGTTTATATATAATAAATAAGACGATCATTGCCACGACCAGATTCCAGGTGGACTTAAGCAATAATTAAAAATGTTAAGAAGGCCTCATTCACTTCAAATTTTAAAATAATAAAAATACATTGAATCAATGCATTTTCGCATAAAAATAAATATTTGATAATGAAAAAATGTCTGTTCCGCGAATCGAGATATTAAACATTAAAGTTGACAACTGTTAAAAAGCAATAAACCACTGCTGTGACACATTTCCTGATCTAAATAGTCGTCAACTTTAATATATATTTCGATTCAGCTCGGTTCACAGAACAGCGCGATACCTTTTTCTTGTCAAATCTTTATTTTTACGCAAAAACAGATTGATTCAGTGTATTTTATCAAAATTGAATTTGAAGTGAATGGGATCTTCTTAACATTAATTACCACTTGCAGTAGTCCAGGAAAAATACAGACAAGACGGACAAACAGTTCTGTAAAATTCGCTCTTTAACTCTGTTAGAAAAATTTCATTGAAATTGATCCTCGTTTCGAAGCAGCATTTCAGAAAAAAATTCAGTTTTTTGTTGAAAAATTCATTTTCAGTAAAATTTTAATAAAATTTTAGAGAAATTTTAAGAAAAGTTTCCAAAAAGTTTCTACAAAAATTCAGAGAAATTTCAGTTCAATTTCAACGATTTTTCAGTATGTCAATTGAAAAATGAACTTTCAGTGAAATTTCAATAATTTTTCAATCAACAATTTTGCTAAAATGTTCCAAACATAGAATAATTTTAGCGAAATTTTTTTATAAGGGAAACGCACTTCAAGTCGGAATCTATAATCATAGCCTAATCATACAAAAGATAATATAATAACATATAAAAGATAATATAATCATATAAAAAATAATATTTCGTAAATTTATACTTCTCAAATGCAGTGTTTCTATTGGAGAATCCAACGGAAATATTACGGAATATCAAATAAGCCGAATATCAAATAAGTTTAACCTTAAGACCATTTTCGTCAAGACGATCTTAAATCAAACAAGAATTCTGTAAAGAAAAACTTCTTCTCGAAGTCTATTTCATGACTATGAATTGTTATGATCTCGATTGAATAAGACGATCTTGATTGAATAAAACAGTCTTGATTAAGACGATTTTAAGCGCTGCCTTGAGCTTTGACTACGAATACGGGCCATGATGTCGCTTGTCACAGTGATAAATGATCACGTGATCGAATTCTCTCTCAATTTGTCCACTTTCTTGTCGCCAACAGCACTGTTGAAAAGTTGGATTAATTCAACTTTTAGCGACATCGCTCTTACGCAAAGATTTAAACATGGATGGAACATTAGAATGTAAGTATAATAAAAGTATTTACTTAAGCTATATTCCAAAACATCTTTTCCAAGAAAAAATTTTATTCGAAATATATAAGACATGTAACACATATTATAATATTT